TTATCTATGAATTTAATATTTTTCAATATCTACCAAGAAACGGCACGTTGCTTGAGGAGAGTCATAGATGAGTCAGACGCAGTCATGTCATACAGGAGCTTAGCCCCAGAGGGGAGAGAGATACACAAAAACCAGCCATACACAAGGATGGAGGCAGTAAGTGCTAAATGGAGTGTGGGAACAGTGTTCAGTAATTCTGGTTGGGGACCAATTAATTATATAGCATCCAGTGAATGAATGTGTGTTCTCCCTGAAGTTTCTAATCCTCTCCTGTGTTGCTTCTCTTCCCTGTTGAGACAAAATAGGAACATTCTGACAATATAAAACATATAAGAAACCATCCTAGGACTATAAAAACAGAAGAAGTGTTGCAGAACATTCAGTCTATCATTCACTCAGCCCTGTTTTCTGTTTCCGGGGCAAAGGATCTGAAGATTAACCTCCGAAGGCTAAAAAGGCAGTTCTGTGTGCATGCAGGCCCTGGGGTTGGATGTCTTTGCGTCCTGTCTCTGTTATTTCACCAGCTGTGTGATCTTGGGTAAATTACCTCTTGGCATCTCTTCATGTTGGATGAATACACATGAAATGCTGGGTACACTATAAATGTTTGATGGATTGATGGAATTCAGCTATTATTTTTATTATTCTCAAAAAAACACTGGGAATTTTAGATCCATGAGTTTAATCACATTCTTTTGAGTTTATATTTTCTGCTCACATCATTTGGATTAATGAACTCCCTACATTTAAAACCTATGTGATTAAACCTTACTGTCGTTTCCCCAGAAACTACCTCTTTCCAACCCTGACTAAAGGCACCTCTTTGTCTAATATTTAAGGATTTAATGCACCAAACTGTCTTCTTCATGTTAAATCTTACCAGTCAACCTCAGAATCCTTTTTAGTCCCTTTCTAATTTTCTTAAGGTTCAAAGACAGTTACACACGCCATGGAGTATTCTGTGAGTTCTGTGCTTTTGCATAAGGGGAGGTACTACTTTCTACTTTCTTGGTGATAACTTTACCAGCAATTGTCAGCGTTTCGTGATCGTTTTTGACAGCAGCAGCTCCTTGAGTCAGGACTTCAAGGTACCGTCATCTGGTATTTTCCAAAATGTGTTCTCTGAAATGCTGTTCTGAGAGGGCTCAATGCACCCACTGGTGTCCCATAAAAAGGCTTATAATTAAGGAAGCGCTGAGTTAAGTGAGTTTGTTAGGTGCTTTTAAACATCCTGTGCATCTGAAACACAGTAGGTGGTGGTTTTTGATCTTGTTTCTCCGTAGCATCCTTTTTTGGGGAGGAATTCATTTGTTGGACTAGTGTTCTGCGAACACAATTTGGGAAATGCTGGTTGATGGTAAATTCTAGGTTCAACTGATGGCTTAAATTCATTATCCTCCGTGAGTAATCTTCCCCGAGGACATGGCACTATTTATCATGTGGAAGTATTTTCATTGTCCTTCTGGTCATTCAGAGACTCTTAGGTGATCTTTTTGCAGTGCATTCTTATCATCCTGATGTTTTGCTAGAAAGGTTTAAGTGTATCTGTATACTTAAAAGATATCATTCTGTATGTATTCTCTTTTCCAAATTGCTTTAAAAGCATACAATGCAGTGACAGGCTGAGAACGTAGTGGAAAGAGCATGAAGTCATGCAGTCCTGGCTTGGAAACATTGTTAAGATCTTGGCAGCCTCTTGACCTTGGACGACTCATTTAGCCTCTTTGAATCTCACTGTTCTCTTCTTCATCCAGAGACATGGCTTTTTATCCTTGTCCCTTGATTCCTTTCTCACATTACTGTTTCCTGACTGGCTTGATCAAGCAAATACGAATCAGCTCATTCTTTTAAATTGAATTTGGAACTTAAAACAAAAAAGCGTAGGTTGGGAGATGGCATATTCACAAGCAACGTGACCAGCAAAGATAGGCAGTTACCGTCCATGGCTAACCCCTCTCCCTGTGCACATATGCAGGCAGGAAAGATGGGGTCACTTTTAATCACCTACGACCGAACCCTTGGGAGTGGGAAGCTAAGGAAGAAGGTGCTGTTTCTCAGGCCATCCCTATAGGGGAGACTCCCCTAAAGTATTTGAACCAAACAAAAAAGAATGAGTGGCAGCTTGAAAAAAAAACTTGGTAGCGTCATTTTCATAATTTCACCAAAAGATTCTGCATCACTGAAAACTTAAAATCAATATCCTCATAGTATAAAATATCCCGGTCAAATTTCAAGCATCTAAGGTCTCAAATCCCACACCCACCACACTGAGCTTTTAGACATGAAAAGTCCCAATGTGATTCCCAAGTGAATACCCACTTCCTCGCCTTTCTCATCAAGCCCGCCTGGAGGAGACCATGTGAATTCCCCCTTACTTGAAATGATGAATATTACCATATAATTCCTGAATTCCGTTGATATCATCCTGTGAAAGTTGGAAACTCTCAGGATCTCTTTCTGCGTAAGTTGGATACATCACGGCGTTAGGATCAGAAGAATGACCCAGCCCCAAAGAATGGCCAAGTTCATGAGTGGCGGCAAACAGAAAGTTAATTCCTACAACCAAAGAGAGACATACAGTAACTATAAAAATAACTATATACATACAGTAAAATAAAATATAGAATAATAAAACAAAAGCATATAATAATAAAAATAAGATAACTATAAAATACCTAATTCTTTATATCCGACATAGTTGACTTGTTTCTAGGCCTTCACAAGAGGGGAGGGTTTAATGTTTTTTAGTGTAATGTTTTTCTGCCTGTTTGCTTCTTGTATAATCACTTGCAGAGCAATATTCACTGGTGGAAAGCAAGGACTTTAGAAGCACTAAGGCCTGGGTTTGAAACCCAGCCCTGCTACTAACTAGCTGGACAGCTCTGAACAAATGAATGGATCCTGCCGACTGAGTCTCAGTTCGTCATCTGTTAAGTAGAGAGAATGATGCTGTCCTGGAGATGTGTCATGATAATTAGGGTTTCGCCATATCTGGAAAGTAGTGGCTCTTCATGAATGATAGTGACTTTGAATAGCAGGAGAGAGAAAGCTGATTTTGAGAAAGCAAGACTGTAATGCAGGCTCTCCAAGCAGTGCTGAGTTTTTGCTCCTGACTTGTTCAAGTGTATTGCATATATGCTTTTCTCCTCTCAGACTCACAGACGGCTTTTGCCAATAAGGGGGAAGGTGTGAGCCTGTGAGTTTGAGTCGCCAGAGCTCCAGCTGTGGTGTGCTAGATGGAAAGAAGCTGTCTTCAGCCTATCTTGAGTGGGAAGAGAGAAGAAATCATGTCAGATGTGACACAGAAGCAGAGTCATGCTTTCATGTAGGTTAGCGTTTCATGACAAAGCTTTACAATGGTGGGACTTTTAGGGCCAGTTAATAGCCTTTTTTTTTTTTTTTTAGAATTATCTCCAGTTAGGATGATTTATGTTAGAGCTTCTCTCCATTCGTTTTCTGTTCTGTCTATAATCTTCTGCTTTGTAAAATGACAAATACGATAACCTACGTTATGGTGTGGGTTCCTTATGAACAATGGGGAATGATAACATAATTGCATATAATTCTTAAACATCATAGTCACCATTCCTCTTTCTCTTCCAATTGAAAAACTTACATTGAGGATATATAAAGAACGGTAATTTATTGGGTTATTAATATCTTCCAAGAACTGTGCTACGCACCATACAAGCATTATCTCATTTAATTCAAACAAAAATCCGGTGATGTGGGAAGTACTTACAGTCCCATTTCACAGATGAGGAAACTGAGGGTCAGAAAAGTTAAATAACTTGCCTAAAGACATGTAGTGAATAATTGGTGGAGGTACAGTAAACATGGCTTGATCTACAGCCTCAGTGTCCATCTTCTATATATGTAGCATTCTGAGCATATTAAATGAAATAGTGCACTTAAAGCACATAGTACAGAGGTTGCCAGCTAGCAAGAACTCGACATCTATTATTAATAAGGCAACTATCAAATTAAAGATAGCCTAAGAAGTTCAAAACGTTACAAAGGATGAGCAGTGGAAGAGATACAGGATGCTGCACCTAGACTGTGTCCATCACTCCAGCGTTCATCCTCATCAAAATGAGCATCTCCTCCCAGGTCCGGCCCTGGTTCAAAGGCGTGAGCCAGTATGTTTCCTGGCCCATCAAACGGGTACGGGTCCCCGTGAGCTGAAAGAAAAAGGGTGATTGCCTTTAGTGCCTGAATTTATCTCCAGTCAGTGCATCGTTTAGTTTCTAAGATTACTGAGGCTAGACAGTTCAGCCCAAGCAGCCAGCTGTATTCATAGCATGGTTTGGGTATTTACTTGTTACAGACACTTTTTTTTTGGTCACGGAATCACGGCTCGTTACTGAGAACCACCATATGTTGAAAGCTCACTGATAAGAGACTTTACATACATTCACGTCTAACTTACGGTACCGTCTAAGTGTTGAATTTGATCATTTTCTTACACTGGATGGTAGCAGGATGGAGGAAGAGGGCGAGTACTGAATTCAGCTCATAATTGCGTGCCACTGAGCATAAGTTTTCTTAAAAGTCTAGCTGCTGCTTTGTGGGTACAGGAGACGGTCTGTGGAAGAACTGAGCTCAAGGTGTCTCAAAATGGATTTTGATAGTGCATTTATTTCTAATGCAGTTATTTATTTTCAAATTGATGTCAGACCATACCCAGTGTATCCAGTTCTTAAAAAACCTAGAGCACTATGATCAGTGCTTTCTGTAAGGTTTTCTTCAGTCTGGTCGATACGGTGGTTGAAGTTCAAATTTCAGGTAAATTTTCAGCACCCAGGCAGCTTAGTATTAAATCAGACCAAAAAGAGCAACATTTTTCTCTAAATGTGCACCATGAAACACCGTCAGTTAATAACAGTCCATGTTTATGGGTTCTGTCTCCTTAAGCCCTTTAATGTGAAGGTTCTCTTCTTTCTCCTTTCTTGCTTCGTGAAGGCAAT